AATATAGTAGTTTGTAAAATGAAAAATGAAATGAAAAAAAATTGTATAAATTGCCTTTTTTATTGAAAAAATTTGAATTTTTTATATTAGTTAGAGTTATAAAAAAAAGTTCCAACGAGTACGGCAATTTCTCTTCAACAGTTCGAAAATCCAACAAATTGCCAATGTAAAAATATTACGAACTCGTCCGCCCTTTTCCCCATTCATTAAATAGAGCATCTCTTTCTTAAGTCGTTTATTGGAACGAATCGAGAATATAGGAGGACATATACTCCATATATTTTTGACAGATTTCAATGAAATTTGGTATCCAGGGGTGTTCGTTGTCAATGATTTCGAAATTGATATCAAATTTTCAAAACTCACAATGGCTTATACAATTTGGCGGAAGCTATTTTAAAAAATGTATAGACTGTTATGAAGCTTGGTATGCAGAGATTTTCGTCGCCTCTGGTTTCGAAATTGATATTAAATTTTCAAAAATCGAAATGGCGGATCCAATATGGCGGACCACTTTTTTTAAATTATAGTTTGTTATAAAACTTGGTATTCAGAGATCTTCGTTATCTCTGATTACGAAATTGAAATTAAATTTTCAAAATTCAAAATGGGTTAAAATGGTGCTAAAGGTAATGCATTGCGCTAAAAGTAAAACGCCTATTTTTCGGGACGCCATATTTGATCCGCAATTTTGAATTTTTGAAAATATAATATCAATTTGGAAATCAGTAACGACGAAAATCTCTGGATACCAAGCTTCATAACAATCTTTAAATTTTTTAATAAATCGTCCGCCATATTGGATCCGCCATTTTGAATTTTGGAAATTTAATTTAATATTCGAATTCAGTGACGACGAAAATCCCTAACTACCAACTTCATTGAAATCTGTCAAATACATATGGAGTAAACATTTTTGTCGTCCTATATTGTCGATTCGTCCCTTTGTGCGGCGATGAGATTTCTCAAGTAAAAGTAAACAAAGCCGAATGGGAGGAGAAAAGAAACTTTCAAACAAAGAATTTTCTCAATTCCTAAAAATCGGCGACTTTTGTGAAAGTATTAGCACATTCCAGTGCATCTTAAATTTTTAAGGCGTTGTTTACTTTTACTTGAGAATTGTCAAAATCAGCAAAACCCAAGCTAAAAGTTTTTTTCTAGAGATTCTAATTAAAAATTTTGCAGTTTAGGTGAAACCTTTTTTTATTTTTGTAACAAGTTTGATCCAAAACTGAGATCTACCACATTTTTCCAAATCTACCAAATTTTTTTCCAGAATCTACCACAGAGAATTTTTATTAAGTTCGATCACTGCCATTCAGTCGATTATTTTAGTTGAAACGAGGAGGTTGTACGCGCACGCTTCTGCAATTAAAATAAAATAATGTAAAAAAAATATTTTTTAAAAGCAAGCTTTTATTTAACATGTACAATCAAAGGAATAAAGTAAAGTAGT